GCATGTCCTCCATGGCTCTGCTCCTGCTGGAGGGCCTGTTGTAGGGGGTGGCTACACAATTAACTAACACAAATTGCTTGTGGTCCTGGTGAGCCACCAAGATTTAATGCTGGTTGTTACCTTTGCTATCAGGAAATGCATACCTTTGTGGCAAAATCCCCCCTGACTTCTGAGAAATAATTTTATGGCTTTGGCATGAGGGAGAGAGACTTTTTGTTCCAGTTGCAAGATCTTTTTCTCTGCTAAAATCAGATTTTGCTTGGTGTATTTCTTAGAGCTCCATAAAGTACAATTAGTCACTAACATCGAAATTAATGCTAGAGTAATGCAATTTATGAACAACTTTAAAAAGTATTCAGCACTTACATTTACAACAAAATTATAAGTTTAAAAAACATCTAGCTTTGCTTTTCCTCACACAGATTGCTAGTGTGACAGTCCCTTGCACAACAAGTCCACAAATCTTTCCAGAATAAGGCAAATACCCTGTTTTTGCAATGATTACTTACCTGCTGTTCTCCATCTCTGTGGCCATTGAGAGAGCCTGGGGATTTAAGAGTTCTGCACACTCTGTACTGTTGAAACTGCACTGACTATGGGGATTTAAATGTAATTTTTGGAGAGCAATTACAGTACAAGGTAAGGGGGGGGTGAGAGGGAGAATGCCAGTGATTTTGGAAATTTATATTTCACTTCTTGCTGTACTTCAGCTGTACCTGATCACTTAGGTACCTGCTTCAACTTTGGAAATAGCAGCCAGGTATGGAAATGCTGCTGAGCTTGGTATCACATATTTTTAGCCCTCTTCTGTCCAGTACTCTCGATGCTTTTCCAAGTACTGGGGTACTTAACTTTAAAAATGTCATATAGCCATGCTAAGCCTCCATTCCTCACCCATGAAGAGGCCATTATTGCTTTTTTCTCATTTCTGTTTTGGATATTTCACAGATCAGGGCACCTGTCTGTCTGTCTCTCTAGTTCAGCCCTCCCAGCTCTGTTTCCCCTTAGATGATGCTGCACAGATGATGATAAATCCTGTCTCTCCTTGCCTCATTAAGTAATTTTCAAGCTTAAAGTCTTTGTCTGCCTTTGACGTCCTCCTTCTTGCTGTCCACCACATTGTCTGGTTTGGACTGTACGCTCTCTGACGCACAGCAGTGTTTTGATGTAGATTGCTCCTAAATCCTGCAGCATACACAGCCGGGACTGGTGCTGCTCAGTCTCCAGAAATGGCACTTTTGGTAATTAGGTAGCTCTTTCCTACCAGAGAGCGGTTGCATAGCACAGCTGGCTGCATGCAGTGCAGCGTGTTCCCTTACTGGAATTGCCTTTCTCAGATCCTGTTTTCTCTGTGTTTCTGCCTCAAGGAGGGAAGCAGAGGTGACAACTGCTGCCAGCTGAACAGATCCTGACCTGCCTCCGTTCCTCTCCTCACTGCTGCCCAGCTGAGCTGTCTGCTTACAGGAGGCTTCGCAGCAATGCGATCAAAACTGACAGCAGGAGGCATGAAGCCTCTATAAGCTGCTTCATCCTCTGTGCAGCACTGGAGATGAGGAGGATCGGGTGTAATTTCCACTGGTAAAATGCTGCCACATGTGGACAGAGCTATGAGAGGCTGGGGCTGCCTGATGGGCACACTGCACGCTCCTGGTCAGCTTGTGGGCCAGGCAAGTGTAGCCTCTTGTTCTGTAGCTGGAGAAAAGCACCATCCACTGACCTCCTGTCCCACCCAGCTCCTGGACAATGAGCACTTTCCTGGATAAAGCACAGGAGAACTGAGAGTGGGGCCCACCAGGGCACCCGCTGCTCTTCTTGCAGCCTGCCTGGCAGGTGCGGGGCAGCTCTCAGGGACAGCCTGCTGGGAGAAATCCCTGGGTCAGCCCCAAATCTTGTGCTTGCCACAGCACTTTGGTGTGAAACAAGGTCTCTGAAGGCTGCCTGAGCCTTTCACAAAGACTTTCTCATTGGATTTTTGTGGTATAAAATCAATAGCAGGCAGCCGGACTTCCTAGCATCGTGGCTCTTTGTTCTTGTTTTGTATTAACAGGCTGAGTGAAATCCATGTTTGCTGTCTTGTAATGGTGCTGGGCTATCCTTGAGAACCTCTCTGTGTGTGTTAACATCTTTGAGTGGTGCTCTTTGTTCACCATGGACTCTGTAAGCACACAACTGATGTTCCAAGAGAAGATATCGATGCTTTGTTTTTTTGATCTCAGAGTGAGTGAGTTCAGAGATCTAAACCAATAAAGAAACAGCCCAGAAAAAAAAAAAAAAAAAAAAGATAAAGGTTTTTCTGCTGGTTGTCCTCCCTCTACCTCAGCCTGATGCCTGCAGATACTGGCACCTGTGCAGGACAAAGGCAGTGGCAACATCACAGTGTAATAAGTAATGCCTCTTAACTACTGAGAAATCACATCCTCAGGCTCCCGAGGGATTTCTCTGGCTTTGGTGGCTGTGAGCATTGTTTCTTTTCATAACAGTTGTTAACCAAGAGCTGTGATGGTCCACAAGGGGTGTAGCTGCTTGCTGCTATGCTGCAAATGCTGCCTGCACCAGCATAAAGTGATTCACAATGGTATCAGCATGGTGTGCTCTCAGTGGTATATCTCTGTATTTTTCACCTGAAGGGCAGTCTAGGTAAAGATTTGTTTTGCACACATCTTTTCAACACACAAACACATGCACACAGATTGGTAATTTTCCATATCACTATCAACTTCAAAAAGGTTCAATTCCCTTCTGTACAGGACTTTTCATATGTGACTTGCAGAAACTTTGATACATGGAGATCAAGACCAGAATATTTTTTTCTTAATGAGCCATGTCTTTTGAATTTGTTTTACCAGCTGTCACATTGGTTCCGTGTGGTGCAAAGATCACACAGAATCACAGAATCTCTAGGTTGGAAGAGACCTCAAGATCATCGAGTCCAACCTCTAACCTAACACTAACAGTCCCCACTAAACCATATCCCTAAAGATGATGTAGAATGGCTTGCTGCAAACTCCTAGCCTTAGAAAACTTCATGTTCTTGATTGAAAGCAGGTGAACAGCAGAGCATAGAGGCTACTCCTTGATTTGCATTCAGAAATGATTAATTGATCGTCAATTTTGACGAAGGAGCACTCTGTCTTTTTCTCTAAATTTCTGCAATAACAAGAAAAAGATATATGAAACACATAGCAATAAATACTATTCTTACTAAATGCAGAACTTGATTTTAGACCTGTAGCTATGATCATCTACAAATGGTGGCAGATGAGAATCACTAAACAGAGGTTTTTGTTTGATCAAAGGCAAGTTGAGCACTGCAGTCAAAATTCAGCATGATTTCAGCTCCTGTGGGACAGTACCCAAATTTATACTGGAACTTACAGCTTGAATAGACATAACAGGTAACCAAAGGCTGTTAAGTTCTTCATGATTCAGAAATACATTGGTTTGCTTTAGAGGTTTTACAATTAACTGTCATTAGTAATTTCCATGTGCTGTCTTTGGTGCAAACATCGTTCCAGTCCAGTATTCCCAATTTTGCAGTGCTGACTATGAATTCTTCCTCTCCATTTTTGGCATTTATTTAGTATTAACAAACTTCCTGGTCCCATGCTTCTTACTAAAGACATTCTGAAAAAGAGTGACACAAATTACTGTTAGTTTCCCATTGGCTATGAAATTGCTTTTCATTAGTAGCTGCCACAAAAGCAGTGCTTGCTTTAATCAACCCCAGTTGCATTGTTTGGAGAGGCTTGCAAGGCTGACTGGCTTTCTCAACTTGATCTGTGTTCACAGTAATGAGGCATCAAGCTAATGAGACCACTGCCATTACAATTAGCTGCTTATTAAATCCTAATTAAGGACCTAATTCTGCTAGGTGCTCAGTGCTGTTTGTAAGTAGCTGAATATCTCCATGTGCCTGTTTTGTGATTGCTAGTTGAAAGTGATACTTGGAGAGGATTGAAGCTCTCTGCTCACATGTAAGGAATCTGTGGTCTGTTTCAGCACTAATGGGGTAATTGACCCTAATGATGTTGGCTGGTATGTAATGGGCAGAGCTGCCTTTCCTTCTCTGGAGCAGCCTAGCATCAATGTCACTGTTAAATGGGCTGTGATTCACACAGCACCAGGCTGCATGATGCTGGAGCACAGCGCTTCCTATAAAACGTCCTGTGGCAGATTGCTTTCTGCACGTTCAGGCACTGGTGAAATGAGTTTGCAACTTTATTGTTCATTGGGGCCAATTACAAGCAAACTTTACATTAGCCAGATGTGCTTCATTCTGAATAAACAACTCAATTCTGTCCTCCCGAGGCTGGAAAATGTTAACTGTGGAGTATCTCTTTTAGAATTGAATTTCCAAGTGACCTTAGCACTGCCTGCGTTCAGTGCTGCGCAAGGTGCTGAGCTGAGAAGGGGCACTTTCCTGAAGGAGAATCTCTCCTCCCTGTCACGGGCTGGTGCTTTCACTCTTGTTTCTGTCACAGGAAGATATCTGAAGTCTTCTTGATCTTCTTGTGGAGATGAGCTTTTAAGCTCACCTTGCTAGCCCAAGGAGCTGTGCTGTTTGTGGCAGCAGAGACAAGCCTGCCTTTATAGGCCCCAGCTCCAACAATGGTTGGCCATTGCCTCCCACAGCTGAGCTCAGGGAGCCCCCAGGGATGGATCTGTGCAGAGAAAGGGCTCCATTTCATGAATCAATTCTGTCTACACCTGCATGCAAACACCTCTGCCTGGGGCAGGGCTGCTGCACCACAGGGCCCTCCTGTTCCCCTGAGCCGCCAGGCCTCCTGCATGTTGGTGTGAGGGTGTGACTCCCCTGTGGAGGCTAAGTCATGTTAACATGACAGCAGTCCTGTCGAGCCGTTCCCACATCCTTCTTTACGCCCTGCTGTTCCCATTTACCTCCCAGCACCTCCTGCTGAAGCAGCCTGCTGCTCTGCCTGGTGGGTAGAGGCAGCGCTATTCCCAGTGATGCTCAGTGAACATGCACCAGATGTCTCCCATTCTTCAAGCAGCAGCATAAAACCCAGTCCTCTTCCATTTGAACTTGGGCTGATTTCACCACAGCTGTCTTTTAAGTTAGATACCCTTAAATTTCAGTGCTCTGCCTTCTCAGCGTGAACACCTGCACCAGTAAAAGTGAGCTCAGACGGGGCTCCCACCAGCCCGTTGCCCCACAATGCTGCCCTAATCACTTTCCGAGCGTTAGTGAAAAGGAACTGAGCTTATTTTACAGGCTTAGTTGCAGTCATAAATTTTTGCATTGCTATTGTGTTACAGATGAAAGCTAATTTCCTGGGTTTGATCTTGATATCTCTGTGGCTCTGAAGAAGTGCTCTCGAGTGCCCAAGGTGCCTGGAGCCAATTCTGACTTGTGGAGGGTTGTTAGCACAGGATAATAGAGCATTCAACTACTTGGTATTAATCCCCAGTTCTTTGCTTGCCATGTTAATTGGAGGAATGATGTCTTTTCTGTGTTACGGGAGTGATGAATCAAATGATAAGTGTAAGAGGTAATTGCTGCTTCCTAGATTTAGAGATTCTACAACTTTTATCAGTCCGCATGGTTATTGGCATTGCCTTTGCATAACTTTGTGATCTTTAGAGGCTGAGAACTCTTCCTGCTGGTTGTTTATTGGCCTTCCCCTTTGCAGCTGGTCTTGCTGGATCTAAAGTTGGATGGCCCAATATTTCACTTAGCAGCCTTGCTAATGAGAAACGACATCAAGACTAAGTAAACATTTTCCCCCCTGGGGACAACAAATTGACCAAAACTCCTTGTAGGAAGCAACAAAAGCAGTACTTGGGTTTTGTTCCACCTGGGAGGTCTGTGTGCATGGCAGGTCTGGGCTCTTGCCAGACCTGGAGGAGACCATCTGGCTTCTGTTATGGGAATATGTTGCAAGTGTGTGTTTGTACCTTCACTTAATCTGCTCCCTGAACACAGCAGTAATGTAAAAGTGTGCAAGGCAGGTAGAAATCCCTGTCTGAAGAGGCAGATGCAAAAGCTGGTTTCTCAGCTATTCAGTAATGCAAAAGGTCTTGTCTGTTTAGTTTCTTCCCCCACAATGTGAAATGTGAACAATGCACTTAGCTGTTACCATGATAACCGGGCTTTAGAGCCTTTTGAATACCTGGAGTCCTAAAGCACTGGCAGGCTGGATGTCAGAGGAGAGGTTCTGAGCCGTGAATATTCCTAAGGAAATCCAGCTTATTTCCTGACTTGCTTTGTAAATAAAGGTGTTCTTGGCTTGACACCAGCTCTGCTTTCACATTTCCTTTTGAAAAGAGAGCAGAGATCTCATGTTGCTGAACCAATAGTTATACGTTTTATAGGATAGCAATGCTGCTTTGTTTCTCCTTCACTTACATTTTTGCTTTTCTACTATTTTGAATTAGCAAAGATCTGATCTTACTTGGCACTTGTGTAAAGACAGAGGGGGAAAATACTGGGCACTTAGCCCAAATTGTCCTGAGTGCTTGTCTAGGATCTTATAGCTTTGTCTGCCTGCTTTTGGACATCTCTTTTGGTAATAAAATGTTCTTGGGTTTGAAGGAAGCTGCTTGATTGGAGAGAGACTGGACCACTCGAGCACAAAATGCTCGTCAGCTTCTTGCACTCTTATCTGTCACATCCAGAGGTTTCTCATGTCACAACGAGTTTTCTACGTCTTTCCTGGTTATCTTAATCTTGGGTGAGAACTTCGTCAGCACCCAGCCCCAGAGACGGAAACACAAGGGTGCAGGGTGATAAAGTCTATCGCAAGCGACCAAGCCAGCCTCCCTTCTGCCTTAGAAAGAAGCGATGACCCAACAGCTTAGCTTTTAATAGTGTGCCCCTCTGTGGGTCACTGCGGGACTGTGTCTGTAATAGTCTGCAGAGGAAGCAAAAGAAAAACACTTAAAAATGTAGCCACAGGAAAGGAAATTCAAATATGTGTATCTCGGGTGCTATTATTCATCCAAGCAAGCATTTTAAAGATGTGGGTTCAATTTTCCACATCTAGCTCTGGATTTAATAATTAGGCCCAGCAGAAATGATCTGTTGGATTTTCAAGTCTTCAGCCTGACAGCAAAGTGCATTTACTTGTATTGTTTGGAGTCTCAGATAAAAAACAAAACAAAACAACAAACAGAAGAGTCAGTGCTAGACACTGGACAAAGCTCTGGGAGACATGAATCTGTGATATTAGCTCCTTAAATATGGTTGTTTCATTTCCTGAAACCTTTATGCTCTAGCATCAGTCTGTTGAAAGATCTTGGTTGCAATTAACCTTTAAATGCTTAGAGAGTTGCAATGACTGCTGAATCTGCTTAATGCTTTAAGAGATTAAGGATGCCTTTTGATGGTGGGAATTCACCTTCCGGGCTGTCTGGGATGGGTCATTTCCATTGTCTCTCTCATATTTAGATTTTGTGCTGTGTGCAGTTCCTTTGTACTTATTAATTTCCTCCAGGTCTCTGTTGTCACACCTTCATCCGTGCCCTTGGGCTTGTTGCTGCAGCCAAGGTAAAACCATTTAAAATCATGCATGAGCTGATGCTGTCCAGGATGTGCTTCAGGAAAATCTGTGGGTTTGGTTTTATCTGAAAGAGTTTCTATACAGAGGGAGACTCCTGGAGTCCCAGAGAAGGCACTGAACTGGTGCCTGAGTGTGTGCATCCTTTTTTATTTGCTCTGCAAACAACACACACTGAAAGCCACACCTTTACCATGGCCCTAAGTTCATGAAATAATCCACTTGTTGCTTGGATGAAGCCTATTTGCATTCTGGCATGTTGCACTGTTCAGGGATGCAGTTCACCAAAATAAATACTCCTAAACTTTTCCAGTTTTCCAGCAATTTGACTGCAAGAACTCTCCAAGTAACACATTTCTTCCTGCATAGGAGAGTAGCAAAGCTGTTTGAGCCATGAACTGGGGTCAGGAGTCCTTAGATATATCTGTTGCTATATGCATGGCATGTTCTTACCTTTCACATCTCTTTGTGCATCTATTAAAGTGGAAAACAATAACATTTACTATCTTGCACATAAACTGTGGGACTGAATTTTTCACTGGAAGTGCTCTGAGATGACTGATTCAGCATCCATGAATACGCATGATCTTGCTCTGTGGCTGCTAAATAGGCAGCTCTGTACCCAGGTCTCGGTCAGGCTCCGAATACAGGAGAATTTTGCAGGTTGGTGGCGGGGGTGCTTCTGGCATGGCAGGTCAGAAAGAGGAAAGGGTAATGAGAACTTGTAATGACTGATAACTGCAGGAGTTTTGGCCAGATGGATTAAGGCAGTTACTGATGTCATTATGGCAGTTACTGATTGTCATTTGTGCATTTTTTTTTTTTTTTTTACAAAAAGGGTATGTTTTATTACCTTAAATGCTCTCTTTAATGCCCTTAGAAAATTACATTAGGTTTTAGACATTATCAGTCCTCATGTCCTTGTTGAGACATTATCCTTGTTGGCTATCAGTAGTATTTGCCTGATAATTCTTCTGAAAGTTATTGAAGATGAGATGTGCTTAATTAAAAAAAAAATCACCATGTAAACCTAAAGAATTGTGCATGTATGGGCAGCCCATCAGAAGTCTGTTACCTAAAAGACACATCATTAATGGTTGGAATACAGCTTCTACTAGCTCACATCTTGCAGCCCAGCTTGGTTTGCAAGCATGGTACTATACAAATGGGAGTATTTGGGAGTATTTTGACTTCTGTGAATATTTAGCTTTTAGATGTTAGCATTTTGTTTTGGAAGCTTAAAACTTTAAAAATTTGTAATTGTGTATAAACAGGATTACGCAGGTTTTTCCTTCCTCCCCAGTGGATATCCAGAAAAGGGAAAGGGTGAAGGAACAGGAGAACTGGTAATGCTTTCCTGCTCTGTGGAAGGCAAAGAGTTTGTCAGTGTCATGTTTTAAAAGCTTATGACACTTATTTTCTACATGATTTTTATTTTAAAATTGGGATATGGATGTACAAATTGCAAAGTGTAATGTACTCAAATTAATGGGAATCTTTCATACAGGGCTTATTTTTTGAAAGTGTCAAAAAATAAGGGACACTTGATTAGAGCATGTCAGTGCCTTCAGATTCCCGGAGATGATTCTTGGTATTAACAGGGCTCTTTTATGCAGCGACAGTAGTGGTAAGAGAGGCTGGTGAGAAGGGAAGCTGGAGAAATTAGGAACGGTTTCTTTATAAGGTAAAAGCTGCTGGAACAAGCTGCTGAGAAGTTCTGGGTTCTCAAACCTCTCCATATCTTAGGAAATATTAATCTTTTGCCAAATATATTCTGTACTTCAGCCCCTCATGCTTTTAAGCACCTCTTAAAAAAAGATCCCGTCATTGCAGTGGGCCAAAGCCAGATCAGGCAGAAATCACCTATGGCTGATTTTTGTTCTGCACACAAAGCCTGGAGAATAAAGATAGCTCCAGAAAGAATTGCTCTCGTGGAAAAAAAAAATAAATCCCATGATGCTCCTTTCACAAGCTTTAAAGCATAGGGAAAGCTACAGGTGTGTAGGTACATGGTAGAATTGTAGTGAAATCCCTTTAGTAACCCTGACTGCTCTGCCTGTTGAGCTGTGCCACACAGGCGAGGTGTCCAAGGCAGGTACTGAACCAGCCTGGTGATGCTTTCAGATGACTTTCCTGGTACTGGTGTTGATGCTGATGATGTCTGAAGGTGCAGGAGAAGTCTGTCTCTGGGAATGAAGGCTGTGCTGAGGGGCGAGGGGTTGTGCAGGTAGTTAAGTTGGCAGCGCCCAGTCTGTGGGCACACACAACCAGGACGGTGGTGCTGGTGAAGTCCAGCTTGGGTAAAATGATCTTCTAAGTGAATAGCTTGAGGAATGAAGTCAGTAATGGTGTGACACCTGTGCTGGGAATGGGGTAGATGTGAAGAGTCCTGTGCCCTGGGCAAAGATCTGTCTCCTGCCTTGAGGAGTTTCTGTCTGTTTGGGCTCAGCGGCTTCAGCAGGGGATGGGAGCAGGCCCAAAGCCAGCATGTCCTTGGCTCTGCCGGGGGAGTGGATTTATTCACTCCCATTTTAGAGGGGATTCCTTGAAGACGGGGGGTAATTCTCAGGGAGACAAACGGCGACAGTCAGGGCAAGGAGAAGAAGGAAGGATGTCAAGTCTGATGGCTGCTTGCCTTATGTTTGCCTTCGAGGCATCCAGCGTAAGCTACAAGGGGAAAACAGATGGGCAATGACTGTGTCTGCCTGCGTCTCTGCCTCCTACCACCTAGCTCTGGCAGCGAGCCCAGGCTGCTCTAGTGAGCTCTAGAGGAGCTGCAGAGAGCGTGCACGAGGCGTGCTGCTTGCCAGGCTGGGAATACGACCATGCTGCCAGCCAGGGCCCCGATTAGCCCCCACCTCCTGTCAGGCTGGGTTTTGTGCTTGGGCAGATAATCTACTCGGTTGCCGTTAATGTGAAAACATCGCTTTGAGCCAAATGAATGTCACACTTCAGAAATCAAAGAGCAGCCCAATATCAATATCGTGTGCTTCTCACCAGCAAGGGATGCCAGGAGGAACTGGAGGGATCCCGAGGTGTCAGATCCAGGCAGGGGATTTGACTGGTGCCCTTCACGTGCGAGGGGGGGTGTTCTCAAGCAGGGAGACACTGGGTGCTGAGCTGCTCCCTGCTTCCGAGGTGACAGGCCAAGCTCACAAATCTGGCAAAAACAGCTCACTCGGGAGTTAAGCACTTTACACAAACATGTGCCTGGATGTGTGAACACTGGGAAAACTAGTCTTATTTAAAAACAAGCACCCTAAAGGACACAGCTTTTTGCAGAAATGATTTTTTCAGAGTTTTGGAGAAAGCAGGAAGACAAACTTGGTATTTCTGTGAATCTTACAATGAGAAACACTTGTGTGGGTTTATTTGTTGGCTTTGTATCCCATTTCAGTCCCTCATTCCTTCTGCATTTCCAATGAACTGCACCCTGGGCTGAGAAGCCAGCAGCTGACTCACCGTACCCCACGAGATGTGCCCATGGAGGAACCTGGACGGGGTCTTACGTGGTGGCTGTGAGGACTGAGGTTTGTCCCACTGCTCATCTGCTCTGGGTGCTCTCTTCATTCTTTCTTGCACATGCAGCCTGGGGAACATTGTATGCAAAGAGCTGTTTTCCCTGATTTAACCCTACAGCCATGACAAATTTATGCAAATTAGGTTGTGCAATGGTGCATGATTAATCACCAAGGTTTTCCCTCTGCTCTGCAGGTGGACAATCTTATGCTGCCCCAGCACAGTGCTTGTCTGTGGGTGCTGTGCCTGTGCTGGGAGCATCTGATGATGGCACTGAGCTGCGGGGAGCTCAAGAAGGAAGAGTTCCTCCTCGGGGCCATGGGGTGTGGGTGTTCCCCACCCCTCAGGGCTCTTACACAGTGGGTGTGTGTAGAGGAACCCCATGGTTATGCCTGCACCATGAGCATCCTCTTCTCCTGCAGGAGGACCCAGCCAACATCTCACCTCCTGGAGACCACCTCCTGCCTGGAGCTGAAGGAAGGATGCTCTGCCACCTCTTCCTCTTGTGTTTTTTATCTATCATGTCGTTTGCTTGCACTATGAGCTTATCCTCGTGGCATCAGAGACAAACACACCTGTTTGGTGGCAGCAGCTCCGTAGGAACGGGGTGGACCTGTGCACACCCTCCTTGCTCTACCTTGGCATGTCCTTGCTCAGGGGAGGAAGGCAGATGTACAACACGAGGCAGATGAACAGCCCACAGCTTGCTGTGACTGGCTTCTGCTGGGGAGGCAGATAAGGCTTGTGATTTGGAAACAGCCAGACCATCAGAGAATGCTGATGAGTAACACGGCTTTCCAGCTACCATTCTGCTTTTAATCCTGTGCAGCTTTTGGACGTCACCAACGATGAGGGATCTTGTCTGAACAGGAATTTACAAGGAACTTTTCTTCATGGAACAAGCTGAAAATCCCCAGACCCCAAACTTACGCAAATTCAGTGCAAGGTTTGCTTTAATTTTTATACTTTTCATCACTATTTGTAAATGACCTTCTTCAACCTTGGGGTGCCACAAGGACAGAATAAATTTTCTCCAGGCTTGTGGATATGGAGTCAATTTTCACGGCAGCAGGAAACTGGTTGGGGCTTGTCGAGCTGCTGGAAGCCTGCTTCATGGGCAGAGAGGAGCACCGCAGAGCATCGGGCCTGCACTCAGGCACAAACTGGTCCTTTGGTAGCCATGCAGCTGCATTTGGTCTGAGGCCTGCTCTCTGTCTTGTTCTTGGCTGAGCAGAAGATTGGGGATGACAAGTTCATTTCCCCAAGGGACCTCAGCTCCGTGCCTGTCCAGACTGGACTAAGAAGATAATAAATTTCAGTACTAATCCATTTAGACCTAAAATACAATTCCAGAAGATATTTGTTAAGTGCAGTCTTATTCCATGAGAGCAGTTGCAGTCTATATTTTCCATACATATTTGCAAAATCATTCCAAATACGTGCATTTATTTTTACAAGCGCTTGTCATCACATAAAGTATTGACAGGCAGCAGTGTCCCTGCTAGACTATCTCTGTAGCAACCTCCCGAGCAGTCGGCAGCCTAATGCATTTATAGCCTGATTACGGGCTGCAGGAGACTCCACTGGCTTCTTAGAGCTGCAAAGGTGGAGACAAGCCTGGGGGCTGTGGGCAGGTTACAGCTCTGTGGCTCTTGGCTTTTCCTTCTGCCTTCATTTCCCTTGCCCCTGCTGCAGGGAATGTCCCAGGCGATGCTTGGCCAAACCCAGGGTACCATTATCAAATGAGAAGTGTGTTGCATTTTAATGGACATCTGTAGCCAAACACATCTGGTCCATTCAATTTGGATGGTGTTCAGGGAAAAAAACAGACAACTGGTGAGAAAACTCCTTGAAAGGGGTTCCAGCTAGATCTGGGTGAAGTTTTCAACAGAGTGAACCGATCCAAGAAAATGGATGAGAGCTGTGACTTCAGAGAAACGTTAGTGAATTGTTTCAGCTGAGGGGAAAAATAACCTCTTCCTTACTTGGTCCCTTAGTTGGAAGCACTGACTGTCTTTTTATTGGAAACTTTGATATTTTTTTGTTTCCAAACAGCTTCCCTTATTTAAAAATTGATCCAAGAGCAAATGTTAGTAACAGATTAAAATGACCTTTCAAGTCAAACAATTTTGTAGGCTGACTCCAAGTGGACTGCTCTTGTTTGATTGTCTCAGTGACAGCTTGAAAAGAAAAGTCTCAAGTTTGATTTATTTGGAGACAAACCATTCTCCAAAGTTCACCTCACAATTTTCAAAATTCATTATTTATCAAATTTTATAATTGTTTGGAGAGTAACGTTATTTTACTTTGGCTAAAGCAAATATACTGGAAGTGCAATTAAAAAAAAAAAAAAGTATTTATTTTGCAATTAACCATAAGTATTTTTTACATTCAAAGTAATGTACAGTGATATTTTGGTAAAGACATGCAATTTTCTTTAAGGTTACTTTAATGTGTATATCAAAATTGGACCTTTCCCGTTTATTTGTTTGTTTGCTTGTTTGTTTAAAGACTTTAATGCTAATTGATTAATTTGCCAATGTCTTTCAGTGACCTTTATGACTTGAAGCTTTCCAGAACTGACTTAATTAAAGATGGGATGGAACCAAAGTGAATTTAAAAAATGTCTGGTTTATTATTCCCTATTAAAATTCTCTTGAATTGCTCGGCTGTCAGATATGGAGCGGAATTTATCATTAAGTTATTCACTTAGGTAATTAAATGAACCTGCAGCTCTAGTTGAGGTGAAAGTGAAAAGAGGCAGTGGGATGCCACGTGTGACAAGCTGGCTTCCTGGCAGACTTGCTGGGATTGTTTAGGTGTCCACCCTTAATTTGAGAGTCCGCTGAGTTTCTGCTTCTGACTTTTTACTCTGTAATAGCTTCTGAACAATACGCCGTGATACTCAGTCCTATTTGTGGATTCCCATCTTGCTATGCACCAAGGACGTCGTTGTCAAGGCTATTTATTCAGTTACTGTCTCTGTGTTGCAGGAGGCACAGAGATCTTTCTATAGAGATCAATGTTTGTTTCTTGTCAACCAAATGGCATGGCTGAATGAAGACATATGCTATTCAATTATTTTCATTACACCCCCCAGATTAATTTTAAAATAAAAAAATATCGTGAAATGTGAGGAAAGCCTAACTATAGAAAATTCTGACTAATAGGAGAAAGAGGAGCTTGCTCTGCTAAGCCTGAACCTAAGGATGCTTTTGTCTGTTAATGATTTAGCAAATGCTAAATTGGCCTGACCAGGATCCATTATTACCATGCTGTGATGTGGGGAAGCCTGCTGAATGAAATGGTAAAGGTCAGATCCTCAAGTGGTGTCAGTGCTGTGCACACAGCTCTGAAAACATACACTATTGCAGGGCTTAAATTTGTCTTCTGGCTGGAGGTAGAGGAGATGAGGAGCAGTGTGTTGTGTCTTGCAGACCATCACTGCAAAGAGAAAGCATTTCCTTTGGTCAGCCTTAATCTTCCACCATTTTGGCAATTATGTAGCTGCAAATTAGATACCATGTAATAACTCCTGATCTGTTTATTACAGAGCAATTTCCAAACTATGTGATCTTAATTTTAATTAACAGACTCATGAAAACAGAAGCTCATAAATTCAGAGCTCTCTCGGGGCTCCAGTGATTGGATGAGGCACTGGTTTCAAACTTCAGTAGCTCTTCTGTTGCACCTGCCAATGCTCAGACATTGGTTTTCCTGGCTGAGTGTTACTGTCAGTGAGTGCTGTCTGTACCAACAAGGCATAAAAAAGAAACATCATACTGCAGGCAGATGCATCCAATGACCTTCCCTACTACTAGGGTCACTCTGAACACAAAGGTGTGACAGTCCTGCTGAAGTGTTTCCTAGCTACTTCCCTAAATCCCCAAATCTGGACTTCCTAAGTGAAAAGACTAATCTTTGGATAGCTCCAATAATTTCTGTTGCCTCTTTCCACAAAAATGTATTGGTTTATAAAAGAATGAAGGTAAAAATAGATATTTTCTTGTACAGTGTTTCCTGTCACAGACTTCACTTCTAGGAGTCCCCATAAGCACTGGATCAAGCAAGACTGATAGATCAGAAAGCAAAGTGGTACTTCTATCTGCCATGCTGTCTTCTCTCAACAGAGAGAAAGCAGCTATTCAGGGTGCTGAAGGTGAGTGAATCGCTTGCAATCATATCAGATTTTGCTGATTTATTTTTTTTTTCTATAGAATGGATGTCCTCTGTAGGACAGCAGTGCTGATCCACTGTGGCAGTCACCCCTTGTACTTGCTCAGTAAAGGGAGGTAGCTTTGCACTTCTGGTAGTGATGGAGTTGTGGATATGGTTGTATGAGAAAGAAAAAAAAAAAAAAAAGATCTTTTAGCTTATCCCATAAACATACTTTGGTTTGCATTTCATTTAGGTTTAATTTCTATTAAAAAAAAAAAAAAGAAAAGTCATGTGTACTAAAAGGCATGTGATTGAGAAACTGATCTATCCACTTTAAACCCCCTAGGAAAGCTGATCAAAAGTGGGAGAGCTGCATGTCTATTTTCTTCTTCAGAAATCCCAGGATATTTGCTAAGCTCATTTGTTACTCATATATAGTGGCATGTGATTATTAATGTTATCATACTTAATTTTCCTGTTATTATTATAAGGTATTTTTCCCTTAAATATTTTATTCAACAGTTTTACTGTAAAACAACAAAACTAAGAAATTTGTGGGAAGATGCTTGCTGCTGCTGTGCTATCTTTTGGAGGGCTGCTCCCCCTTCCTTGGGGGCAGCAGTGCCAGTGTTTCCAGGAGAAGTCAGGCTCACATCCAGGCTGATGGATGCTCTGAAGTCTCAATGGTGTGACCACTGCTTTGGCTTCAGGTAAAGCTACCTGTTGCTCAATGAAAGATATTTGCATTTGTGCACTGTTATTTGGCTTTCACAAATTCAGTGGAAAATTTCATACAAACTCTCTGAGAGCTCTGGGGATTTAAGAAAAAAAAAAAAGCCAATAAAACAGCAATACTCCATTTTGTTTATTTTTCTTTAATACTTATGAATTTAAGTTGTTAGTGATTTTAGAAAGAAGTATTTCTAAATGACACCAAATCAGTCATTTGAGTTAATTTCAGCCTCACTTAAAGGGTTTGCAGACCTTAGTGGATTTTTAACTTGAAGTAAACAAACTGAAAAACAGATAATTATCGCATCTTGAAATATTTTGTGAGTGCCATGCACATCTCTTGAGTGTCCTTTAAAGACGGAAAGCTCCATATTTATGTACATAGCCACATACTTCCACAGCCAGCTCTCTGCTTTTAGCATTCAGAAACCAGCAGTTCCTGCGTGCTACCAGGCAAAAAATGTATCTTGGTGTCCATAAAGGAATATGATTAATTCCTGTGAGGAAAATGATAGCAGTACAAAATAACACAGCAACTCCCTTTGGTTATATCACAAAAAATTAGTCAAATTACTGACGGTGCTCATGGACAAAATGTACATAACAAAATGTAATGCAAATAGAAGAACATTTTATTGCTTAATTGAGAGAAAATCAGCATCTCCATTAGCTTCCTTTTGTTCTCAAAATAGTCAGTGTTTACTCTTACACAGAGTGCTGCGGCATGCATGGGCTCCGCAGGAACTTCATGCTGATAAGCCAGAGACAGTCTTAGGCATGTTTTTGATCTGCTGTGATATTACAGGACTTGTGGCTGCTCAACTAAAGTGCTATGAGAGGTGTGAAATCACAGTTCCTACACTTGGTTAGTCTAAGTCCTGAATTTCTCCTGTAAAACGATTGAAAGAGAGCCCTAAACCTTTGGTTGTCTCCCAGCAGAAGTTCTGCAGCATGACACACTCGTGGGGGCCCTGAGGAGCAGTGACAGTCCACCGACCTCTGGCGATGGCAGCCAGATAGTGATGACACCTCGCTTGGGCTGGCCAAAAGAGCTCATAGGGGTGACCAGCTGAGATGGCTGGGCTGTCTCAGCCTGTTAGTGGCCCAGGACACCTGATGGGACAGGGACAGGCATCTAGGGGCTGGAGATGAAGAGAAAGTGTCAACAGAATGTTTTAGCTTGGACCAACCCAAATTCAAGGAGCTGTCTGGGGATGAAGTCTAGAAAATGAGGCAGTGACGCCACTAGACTTTTCTGCCGTGTGAAAGCTTCACTTCAGAGGTGGGGACTGCTTCCTCCTTGATTCTCCTCTGTGTGGTTTTGTGAAAGAACTCATCTCACAGCATCAGTAGTGTTTGCACATCCTTATTTTCTAAGTAGCAAAACTATATGTTGCTGGTTGTCCTTTGTTCTCTGCAGATAGAGAAGTTTATTGCAAAGCTATTACTATTATCACCATTCTTAGCGAGAGTTGCTGATCTCTGCTGTTACCACCTGAGATGCTCCTGAGTGTTAATTACTCCCCTTGAGAGTGTTCTTGGCTTGCTGATGCTCAGAAATGCAAGTGACTTGTATCTATGACCTGTTAGGTACATATCAATATCTGGAAGATTATTAGACTGCTCAATTTGAATATTATATATATATATATAAAGACATCCAAAAATATTTCAGTCCTCTTTGCATAGAACAAGGAAGACAATGAATGCTGCTTACAAACAGCAAGTGATCAGTGTATTGGGTCAACTATTCAGTATTTATTTTGATGAATATCTCTCTTGGAAGGCAAAAATGTCAATGTTGGCTGCTGCCAATCACTTAGGAAGACAATGTATTTAACAGCTGATGAGGTTTATGGTCCTTCTGCTTGTATGTGTGTCAGTGTGACTTTTAATCTTTTTTTTTTTTTTAATTTATTATTATTTTTTAATAATATATAGATGCCAACTAGATTTTGTGGATGTTAAGAGAGTTCTCTAGGTCTGACAAATAGTGCAACATGTTGTAGAAGGCTGGGCTCCAGCTAGCAGATATGACTGATGCTCGTAGTAGCTGTTATGTTACTGAACTGACAAATTTGGACTTACAACAAAAATGTAGGTGTATGGACTCAATTATACGCTGCAGAAAAGGGCTGCTTAATAGAACAGGTTGGAAAGCAGATTTTCTCTTTGATGGGTAACTCACAAATTTGACAAAATGTGACAGTTTCTAGCAGAAAGTAATCTGAAAGCAGATTTCAAATTAATTGAAACTTTTTGATAAATGTGGAAGTTTTTTTTTTTTAATGATGGAAAATTCTTGGAAATTTCTGGATGAAAAAACTTTCAGAAAAAAGAATTCAGAAAAATGTTCTCTGAGGGGGAAATGTTTCATGGCATCATTTTGTTTTACTTGTTAGTAAACTGAATCTGCCATAAAATTCAATTGCTGAAGATGAGCTATGGATCTTTGAGTATGGAACACATGCACGAACAAGCTTTAATATGCCACTAGTTTATCATTTTACAGGGGAAAACATTCCATTCTCATAAAGTTGGAGTGAATTCCCTGCTGTATTTTCTTTGACGTGTTCCTGTTGGGAGGATTAGAGCTTTTAATGAAAATGACAACGTTAGACTAGTCATATGTAAGGAATGATTTGGGGAGCTGTAAACATGGCAAGGTTTCTATTATTGTTATTATTTAACAGGAAAGTGCCCAAACTGTTTCTAAGCAGTTCCTT